CTGGTGCCGTTGCTTGCGCAGAGGCAGACCAACACAAACACGCCTTCCAATACTTACGCACGATGCGAGACGCGAGTTCAGGTGTGGAATCGGATAATCCTTGAACGAATATCTTCGTAAGCCGGTGCCTGAATTCCAAAAAAGTTCCAGACTGGCCATCCGCCGATTGAAAATCGGCGTCGATCGGCTGCGCCTCGCGCGGCGAGGTTAATTTGAATTCTTTGGCCGCACGACGCAGAAATCTAACCGCGTTCTCGCCGCTCAAACAGAGCTTCTCACCAGTATATTTGTGTATCCAAGACGTTCCCTTTCCTTTGTGGCTTCGTTTGAATTTTTCTAATTGAAATTCAAGAACGAACGCGACGCGAGCGCACTCTCGTTGGTTTAATCGGTCGTACGTTTGTGACCACGCAAGCACATCATCGAGAGGCGCTCCTTTCGGGAACAAAATCTTTGCATCGAACACCTGCGTATCTCTAGCAAAATGTACATGCGGAGGATACGTCGCCGATCGCTCGTCCGTCGCGCGATCGTCTTTCATGGCCGTTACTCGCTTCGAATCAATGCGCTCAGGTGCCGCCGCGTGAGCAAGTTTCCGTCGCTTGTAGTTCTGCACTGCACGATCGCAACAATCCACACACGTCTGTACGTAGTCGTCTTTAAACTTGTCCTGCGCGAGCATCTTCGTGCAGTTCAGACAGCAAGAAGATCCGTCATCGCCCACCGTTCGCTTCGCCTTCGCTACAGTCGTCTGCGTCGTCCGAGAAAGACCGATTAGTATCAACACGATTTCGTTCACCATCGACGTACCGGAAGTCCTCGCTCATCGCGCCGCGCCGCGTTCGATACCGCGTCCTGTTTCTTTTTCTTACTACTCGTGAAGCCAGATCCTTTCTTCTTCCGCGGCATTGTTGACGATGCCGACGCCGCCGCTTTCTGCGCGTCTCACAATGACGTTCGGCGTCTCGATTTAAGTGTCATCGCATCATCGCGCCACCGATCGATCCCCGCGCGGGCGCATTCTCGATCGATCCGCGCGTTGCGGTCGCAAAACGCATCACCACGCGACGTTCTTCGTCATTCCTCGACGTTCCGCGCGCTCGGAACGCGCGATCGCGGCGTAACAACGACGCGCGCGCGTGTCGACACCAATCGCCACTTCCGAGAAAAGTCGACACATCGATCGTCAGACGCCGACGCGCCGACGCGATGCTCGTCGCGACGCGCCGACGCGCGGAAATCGTGAACAGAATCTCGAGTGATGAAGCCGTTGTGGATCGGGAGTGGGTTCGTGCAGTCGTTGGCGTATCCGAATTTCGTGGCGTTGATCAGCCGGAACGTGCGAGATGAGCGAAGAGGAAGCGTGTTGACGGTGTGGGTGATGGCGTCGCCGGTGGGGGACATCGTCGGTTTGTCCATCGCGCGCGCGGTGTTGGAGCGATACGGCGATGATAACTGGCCGGTGGTGATGTTCGTCGCGGCGGCGTTCGTGGTGATTAATTTAGCGATATTCTTAGTGTTCGTGCGCGAACCGAAGGAGGACACGGTGGGGACGTCTGGCGAGGACGCGGAGTCGACGGCGCTGTTGGGATCGAGCGAGGACGACTCGGCGAGCTTTTTCGAGATCGCGAGACGGGTGTGGATAGTTCCGGGCGTCGTCGACTTTTGTTGCTCCGTCATGGCGCTCAAGGTGGTGATCACGTCGATGCTTTTCTGGACACCGTATTATGTCGACGACGTCTATCCCACGCAGAAGAAGTACTCCATAGTCTCCACGCAGCTCTTTGATTTGGCCCTCATACTCGGCATCGGAAGCACGGCACTGATGAATCGGGTGTTCAATCGATGGATCGCAGTGTTCTTAGTGTCCCTCGCCGTCGGTTTAGCGCCCTTGTTCGCACTACCGTACGCGCACGTCTTGGGATGGACCGTCGCGTACATCTTCGCGGTGGGATTCTTCGTGGGCCCGCCCGCCGCCCTCCTCGCGAGTACGATGAGTAGCGATCTAGGTGAGCGCGCCGAGGCACGCACGGGTATGCGCAGTATTGTCGGCGTCATCTCTGGTTTCGTCGACTCCGCAGGCGCCGTGGGAAGCGGCGTGGGTCAAATCCTCGTCGGCGCCGTCGCTCAGTCCGGGGGATGGCACTCCGTGTTCTCCATGCTCTGTGTATTCGTCGTTTTGGGCATGCTCAGCCTCACGCGAGTTGCGAGGATGGAACACATCGAGCTCTCGACACGAGCGTCGAAGCGCATAGATCGCGAATTGATTTAGTTTCTAGCGTAGAATCATAACAACCTCATTCCTCCGTCGACTCGCCCGCTCTTTCCCTGCGTCTTCGCTCCCTTCTATTCATACCACCATCCCCCTCCGTCTCCATCGCCGCTCGCTGACTCGGCGTCAGCTTCTTACCTCGCACCCGCTGCGCCTGTTGCAATCGCGCGTTCCCCTTATTCGCCTCGATCACCCGCGCCTGTCGATCCTCCTCCGCGCGCGCGTCCGACTCCGCCTTTCTATCCAAAGCCTCTCTCAGGGCGACGTATCCCATCCCACCCGTGATGACGAGCAACAGCGCGGTGGCCACGGCGAAGGCGACACCGGCCACCGGGTCGGGCGCGGCGTCGACGGCGGTGCGCACCGCGTCGACGTCGTCGACGGCGCGCGCGACGTGCGCACCGCGAGAACGATGCGAAGTCGCACCGGATAAACCCATCGTGCGCGTCGCGCGCGGGGAAGATCGACGCGACGCTCGGGCGAGTCGAGGCGTAGATTTCGCTCGAGCGCTTGCGCGCGTTCGGGCTCGCGCGGAAGCGCGCGCGCAGAGCGACGCGGTCATCGCGATGCGTCGTGAAATAAAGCGCGCGCGCGCGACGCACTCGTTCCGCACTCGTCCGCGCGCGGGCGATCGACGATGACGCGCGTGACGACGCGCGGGCGTTGAGAATAATATCAACGATCGAATGCGCGACGATGGAACGATGAAAGCGCGTCGGAGCGCGCGGGAGCGCGCGGTGAAGAGAAAAGAGTCGGAATCTCGACGAGGCAGCGCGTCGACGTCTCGCAGACGACCGCGCGCGCGTCGATCGCTCGGCGGACGGAACAGAACGATATCCACGGCGTCACCCGATCTGACGCCGGAGTTTTTTCGTATCGTCGACGCGGAGGCGCTTGCAGAGGAGGAGGATGCGTGTGGCGTCCCGGAGCGCGCGCGCGTCGGACGCGCGAGCGACGACGAAGACGTGTGCGCGTCTTTGATCGGTGTTTTCGACGACGTGAGCGCGGAAACTTTACGGTTGATGACGGTGGCGAAATTGAGGCGCCGGAGGAGCGATCCGGTGAGCGTCGTGCGGTTGTACGCGAGACGGTCGGCGAGGAGACGGCGGAGTGAGCTGAGGCGGTCGGCGGCGAAAACGGAGAGCGTCGGTGCGACACCCGCGGCGGTGGTGACGGTTGCGGACGATGAGGTGATGGTCGATGCGCCGTCGCCGACGATGGAGGCGAACGTGGATGACGGCGCGCGTGAGGGTGGTGGTTTGTACGGGTTGTTGCTTCGGGCGGCGGCGGACGAACGCGCGGGCGTCGAGAAGTCACTTCCTTCGACGCACACGCTTGAGGAAGTGCGCGGAGACGCGATGGCGAGTGATGACTTAGTTACGATGTCTCGCGAGTTTGAACGCGAGGACGCTCGAGTAGGATCGCTCGTGCGCGGATTGGGCGGCGGCGTAGCGCACGTGCTACGGAACGAACTTGGCGAGGCGTTGGGATACACGCTGACGTACGAGAATCGAGCGCCGGAGTGGGATGAAACTCGAGCGGTGACGCTCCCGCCTCGACTGGCACACGTCTTCATCCGGGAAGAGCACAGAGGCCGCGGTCTCGGAACGGGACTCGTGGCACGATGGGTGAAGACATTCGCCCTGCGATGCGCCTTTTTCGCCGTCGACTCCCCTAACGAGTCCATGGCGCGAACGCTCCGTCGCGTCAACACTGCACTCGCGACGACACATTCGGGACACGGTGCGTCCAGTGTACATTACATTTCTTTGCACGCGCAGTCGTGAGGGGCCGAGAGGCGCCTCATCGCTGGATCCGTGCTACTAGTTCAGCAATGCGTGCGAGCCAGAGCGCGCCGCAGCTATGTATTTGCCATGTGCTTTACTGCGCTCGACGTCGTACCCGCCGACGAGCTTCGCACGTAATCGATCGGGAAGTTTGAGCGACGCGTCCACGTCAGCCTTCGTCGCCGGTCGTCCAAGTAAATACTCCATGTGTTCTCGTCGCACACCGTTTTCGAGCACGTCTCTCGTCTCGACACCGCTCTCGTAGTTCTCCCACATCACGCGGTCTTGAAGCTCTGCCGACATCGCGCTCAATACCGCGCGACAGATCTCTAACTGCGTGTACGTCTCCGCGGCTTTCTGTTCGATCTCGCTCGCGTCGCATCCCTCGATGTCGTCAAAGTATACGCCACAATCGCGCGCGAGGTTGAAAATTTCTCCTGTGACGTCGTTTTGCAATGCGAGCTTCGCGTGAATCTCATCGACGAGTTCGGCGTCGACGACACGGCGTGTCAAGCTATCTTCGGCGATGACGCCGGCGACGCCCTCTCGTAAACCGCGCTGAATGATCTCGAGATTAGCGATACGCATCTCCAATCCTCTTGCGTGTCTCTCCTGCGACTCCATCTTCCTCAGCAATGGATCAGCCTCACCTTGAAGTCCTTGATAGGACTCAAGATCGGCCTTAAACTTATCGGGTTTCCATGCGGACTCGTACTTCACTTTACCGGGGACGTACCCGTTATCTTCCTCATCCAACTTTCTCGGTGTCCACACGCGTGGATTCTTCCCGACGCTTCCTGCGCGAGTCCCAAGTGCCCGAGCGCTCTCTATCAAAACGTCCCCTAGCGCCTCCACGCATGCTTCCATCGAAGGATTCAATGGATCGAGCGTCAAAGCGCCGTCGATGACCTCGATCGTGTCGTCTCCCGCGTCTACGTGACCAAATCGTAACTGCACCGCGCATCCGTCCCGCAACGCTCCGAACTGTCTCTGCGTCGACTCCCTCGCGTCCGTCACCGTTCGAAGCGCGGGTGCGATCGTGCGATCAAACCGAACGCCGCGAACGTCCACCATCGCGTGATCGCACGCGCGCGACACCCTTCCGTCGCCGATTCGGAGCAATCGAAGGACACGTCCAACGTCTCCGGTGGTCGAGCGAATTATTTTCTTCGTCTTCGTCTCGTCGATGCGAAATACGATCGTGCGCGTCGGCGTCGAGGCGTCGAGCGTGTTCGCGAACATGACACGAACGTCGTACGCGTCGCTCATCCCTCGCGACGTCGCGTTCGAGCGCGCGCGTGACTCTCGGAGCGCGGTGTTTCGTGTATTCGATTATTTGACCGAAAGTGAGCGTTTTGTGCGTTACACCTGAGCTTCGAGGTTCGGCTGAGGCTACGGGCACTGGGCGTACGCCTCCAAGACGAACGAAGCGCCAAAGTCTCGGTCGACGCCGCAGGCGACGACGGGGACGATGATACATCGGGGTTTAGAGCAATCGATGCCGGAAACGAGCGTTCGGACGGCGTCGTCGACTGCTCGAGCGATGTCCTCGTCCTCTGCGCGATGGTAGAGTCGACACGAGATTAGGCGCTCTGGCGTGAGAAACGCCTCATGAAGACGTTCTCTGACGTGGTCGAGCACGGAGGTGACGGCGACGTCGCGATATCCTACGATGGTGCATCGCATGAAACACCTTGGCCGGTACACACTAGAGGACGCGACGTCGGAGAGGTCGGGAAGGATCGATGAAGCACCTGCTCGCGATTCCTTCCGAAGCACATCGACGTCGTCTTCGTCTTCGATGATCGACGAATGCGAGACTGGACCCTCGTCGACAAGTAAAATCGGCTCGATCTCGCCGATCGCACCCTTTGGAAGATCCGTCACGACCAGCTGCGTGACGAGTGGTCGCCAAGAGAACACGCGATCGCTTGAATCAACTTCGCGCGAAAAAGACTCAAACATGACGTTCGCCGGATGCGCCGACGCGCCAGCCGCCGCATACTCGTCCTCGTACTTTGCGTTCGTGTAAAGTGTTACCGCCAAAGATCGCGCGCCGAGAGGTGCGCCCGTGATGTCGGCGACCGCGACCGCGCTGCGCATTGCGCGCTCGAGCTGCGGAACGATTCCTGGCACCAAATCCAGCGTCGTCGGTTCCATGCCGATTTGACCAGCTACGTACGCTAAACCGTCCACAGAAATCGATTGCCCGTACGGGCCGATGCACGCGGGCGCCCAGGATGAGATCGATTGCACGTGCAAAGAATTTCTTGGACCCACGTGCGCATTTACGAAAACGCAGTCTATTTGTACCTTCGAACCCGAAGAGAGACACGTGGCGACGCACGCGCGAGCGCTCGGTTCAATCGAGGGCATGTACTTGGAATACACCGCATTCACCTTTGCAAACTGACTCATGTCGTCGAGATACACATGGGTCATCGCAATTTTCTTGAACGTGGTTGACACGGGCATATTTCTGACGAGCTCCCCCATGCACTGAAAAATTGCCTCTGCGCACGTCTCGTGCGTCGCGTCGCGTCCGTCCATCGGCCTCGCCGAACATGAGACGTTCGCGACTGAACCCCTTTCTATCGTTACGTATCGCACGAGGCACGACGCACTTTCGAAGACGACCTGCCCCTCCGAGTGCTCGTCCCTCTCGATGAAGTCCATTTGCATCTGCTCCTTTTCCTCTTCCTCAACGTCCAAGCAGTCGTCATCGTTCACCCAAATCACCCTTCCAGGCGGAATCACCTCACCATCTGGCGTTTCTTTCAACACCACGTCGTATTTATCCACCACTAAGTGCGCGGTGGGCGCGAACGGATCCTCGCTCGTCGTAACCGTTCGCGTCTCCGTCAACTCCAATCGTCCGCGCTTAAACAGCGGACAATCCACCACCAACGTCTCAAACTCCCCACCCTCTCCCGCGCAGTGCGAGCCGTACATATCCTCCGCCCTGATCAAGTCCCCAGTCGCCTCGACGACAGACATCCCGAGATGTTTCCTCGGATCTAATCCCATCGCCGCCGTCTTCACCAACCGCGCGTCCACCTTCTCCTCCGCGCACCGTCTCAAAATCTCTCGCTGCTCCACGCGCCACAGCGGCGCGAGAGACGTCAACCCTAAATCCGCGCACACCGATTCCACTCGCAATCGTTGATAATCACTCAAGATCGCCCCAGAGCACACCGCGTTCGTCTCCGGCTTCGCTCGTTTCACCGCGCGTAACAGCGTCCGCAAGTCCTCCACCTCATCCCTCACATCCGACCGCGCGTACGTCCGCGTGATCGTCACCGAACCTCCACGCATGCGTCTACGAAACACATCCACGCCCGCGCACGCCGCCAGCGCGTCGACGCACTCGTGCGCGACGGTTTGAAAGCAGTGCGAGTCCAATTCGTGCGCGTCATCGTCATACGGTCGCACGTTCGCCAACGCCACGACCTCGCACTCCGCGCGCGCCGCGAGCGTCATCGCGGCCAGAGTTCCATCCTTCCCGCCGCTCACGAGGGCGACGACGCGGAACCGCTTCGGCGTCGGCGTCGCCATCGGGCGTCGCGCGGCGCGAAGTGCGTTGGTTTCGTGTGGGCGAACAGTCTCACGCCCAAAACACACACACACAGTGTCACACACACATCGGTGTCACATGGGCTTCACACACACCGAATACGTGCACACACAGTGTCACACACACATCGGTGTCACATGGGCTTCACACACACCGAATACGTGCACACACAGTGTCACACACACATCGGCGTCACATGGGCTTCACACACACCGAATACGCACACGACGCCCCATCCGTGGATCGACGACCGCGTCGTCCCCGGCGTCGGCGTCCCCGGCGTCGACGACGTCACCGCAGACCTCGCGCGCGGACGCCTCGGACGATGGCGACGACGACGACGACGCCTCGAACGCCGGGCGCGATCGCGCGCGCGCGACGGACGCGCGGGCGACGGATGGATGACGTCGACGACACCCGCCGAAGGGTCGTCGCGCGCGACCGCGCGATCGCGCGCGCGACGCCGGCGATCGCGCGAACGGCGACGCGGACGA